ACAATCTTCGACGAATTTTTATCGATCGATCATTTCTGCTCACGTAACGTATTTGAACATAAACTACGAAATTTCTCAAACATTCGGACCGGTAAATGTAATTAATACTGTTTAATTAAAGAGCAGAGCAATTACTTAAATAAATTGTAACTATAAAAATAACGTATAAACAGAAAATATATTAAATAATTGTCGGACTTAATTCATTTCATATGTTGTCATTGCTTAGGTATCAGTATATATATATATATATATATATGTGTGTGTGTGTGTGTGTGTGTGTGTGTGTGTGTGTGTGTGTGTGTATATATCATATATATATATATATATATATATATATATATATATATATATATATATATATATATATATATATATATATATATATATATATATATATATATATGTATATATTATATGTGTATATATATTTATATATATATATATATATATGAAAAAAATATACTGAAAAACAAACAAAAATCTTAATATCCGATTATGCAGTTTTAATGTTTAATGTCAACGTCGGACGTTTCGGTCTAATAGACCATCTTCAGGACATATTCATAAAACATAATTCACATAGACCATATACAATTCAACATGAAAAAGATGGACATAAAAGCAATACCAATCCAAACAGATAACTGAAATCTTTTATAAAATATATATATATATAATTTGTGTATTTAGGTAGCAAATTCTTTTTTAGGCCTGTCTAATTGAATAAATTACAAACATTATGACTGCTTATTTTTATCATAATCCTTTCATATTCGCAAATATTTTTCCGTATATTTAATTGTTTTATACCTCAAAAATATTCGTGAATATGAAATCAATTATGATAAAATAAACAGAATATATTTTTTCAATTTATTCAATCAAATATATATATATATGTATATATATGTGTGTGTGTGTGTGTAGTGATACCTAAGTTTTAAAATTCATTTTAAAGATGAAAAGTCTTTCTTGAAGCTTGATTTTAGTTTTAACTGCAAGCTAATAGATTAAATTTAATATTTCCAATAAGTAAAATATATTTGATTTTCGAACCGAATTTAAATTTATTTGAATTTTTTTTTTAAATCAGCCATATTGAAAAATCTGTGAACACAGCATAAAAAACTTTTCAAAAATAAAATAAACTTTAGAGAAAATTTGCAATAAATTTTAAATTTACTATAGTTACTACTCTTATTTTCTGATAATGTCGTTTATGAAAGCCTGTATTTGCAAAAATCGGCATGTTTATACACGCATAAAAAAAATTAATTAAATACAAATTAAAAATTAAATTAATTTAAATACTGAGATCATCGAATTGTAGTATGCTTTTCCGTTTATGACTGATACAACGGCCGAAACGTTGTGTATATGTATATGGCAGTAAAGATGATGACAACAGTCTGAATAATGCAAATATTGTGAATAGCAAAAATAGATTTTACTTAAAAATATCACCTAAGAAATCAGTACAGAATTTTAAGATTTAAAATCTTATAAATGATTCCAATTCTATTATTTTTAAATGAAAACAATTCCTGTAAAAATACATTGTTCATCGAAAAAAATCTTTTCTTAAGACGATAGTGCCTATCATATATTTTATTCATAAAAGCTTTTCTACTTAAATAATATCTTGGTTTAATTACATTTTTTTATTCTACCATTCAGATATTTTGTAACTGGGTGTCCTGTTTTACAAAAATAAGCTGATGATTTAAATTCTCCAAGATGTTCTGCTTTTAACTAATGTAAGTGCGTCAAAAAAATTCTCGAAATTAAACATAGTAGGGTGTAACAGATGTGAAAATATTTTTTGCCAAGATTTTCTAGAAAAAGAAACGTGCATCATTTCTGAAGGATTCTTGGAAGTTTCATTAAAATTCGACTATTATCTGAATTTTGCCAGAATTTCCAAATCAACGTGTTTTCCTCCGAAGAATGATGCAAACATTTCTCATAATTTTTGTACAAATGTTTATTCAATACAAGGCTTAAGAGCCACTCAGGGTAGAGGGTTAATATGCGGAGTTGTTTTATCATAAGAAAGAGTAAGATAACAGGAAAGTTAAAGAAATAATTCTAGACTTGAAGAGGTGAAGATTTAATTAGAGAGTTCAGGCGGAGACCTTAGGAGTACAGGGTTGAACTAGACTTTAGACGGAACCGGAATTCCACTCCTAAACAGGAAAAAGGATGAAACTCTACTAATGTTCAAAACATCAAGGAGGAGTGTGAACCGGTCAATAGGCAAACCTATCTACTTCTAACAGCTTGGCCGGGATGTTCTATTACACCCCCTGTACTCACCTGACCTTTCGCCTGCAATTTAACATTTATTTCGTTCCCCCCAAAACTCACTTAATGGGAAGAATTTCAATTCTCTGAAAGCCTTAGACTAGACCATCACCCAGAAAAATGCCAAGTTCTAGGAGGATGGAACCATAAAGCAAAGATGGCAAAAATGGCGGTGGAACAAAATAGCATATACTAGCAGTAGAGCCCGGCGTTGCCCGGGGACAGTAACAGTAAGAGATAGATCAAGTATCGACCATCATAAAGACTAAAAGATAAAATTGACAAAGATTATTGTTTAAGGTTGACGGACACGCATTTCTTAATTAGTTTGTTTTTTTGTTTTTTTGTTTTTTTTACGAATTGGTCAAACCCAAACTCAAACAAAAACATTGTTTTCAATCGTTATGAGTCTAGCGATTAAATAGAATTTTCTTATAAACAATTGTCTTGTAAATGGAATTTTTAAAGCAGTCTGAATGTAAAAATAAAGAAAAAAAGTGTGCAAAACAATAAGAAACACTACCTGCCAAAAAAAGTGAAGTTTTGTTGAAATCGGTTGAAAAATGTAGGAAATCCGATCCATATATAAACGAACACACACAAACAACCTGGGTTTTATAATAAGTATAACTCGATATGAGTTGTCCCCCTTTCATTCTGGCGTCAGAATCGTGTTTTCAAATTGATTTCGTGTAAAAACAATTGTTTTTCCAATTTTGTGCGCAGTCATTACCACCGCAAGGTAATTTTACGCAGTCCTGTGAAATTTTGTTGAAATCAGTTGAAAAATGTAGGAAATCCGATCCAATATATAAACGTACAAACAGAC